GATCACCAAAGACACCAATTTTTCTTCAACAAAACACCGGCTGTGAAATAGGTTGTCCCGCTGCTCGTCGGACTCCCTGTGCTTGATGACGATTGCTGCCTGCTTCTTTTGGACACAATTTGGCATATTTTTGGCCTCGCTATTGCCTCCAATACACTCCTCCTCTTTGGCTCCGTTTGCCATCGAGATTTAATCACCAAAACAGCAACAGCGGCTGCTCGAAACAGGGCTCTTCCTCCCTGTTTTTCGACAAATTATGCTTGTACGAAACAACACGTTTTTGCCTTCTTCTTCGCCCTTGTGTTGAACGGGGCTCTGATACCACTTAATACGCCCCTGGGGGGTGTATGTTATCAAAGTAACCCGCAAACGACTCAATCGAAGAATCGATTGAGCTCGAATCAAGAACAAAGCGTTCATAATACGAACTTGGATAAAACGGAACCAAAAGGACGATTCCACACCTGGGGAATGCTCGATTGGTATAAAAGGTAGATGCCCAACCACGATTGAAGTGACTATTCAATTGATACAAGAGCTCACGAGCTTGGAATCCACCAAACTCAACACAAGTCGCAACTTGCACAAAACCAAAGGGTCTGTTTTTCGATTAATCAAAGTCTTCTTGTAAAGTGAGATGGCTTCTTTGACAAGTAATTGTGAATTGTGGATTGATCCAATTGGGATCATATCAGGCTCCCCCTCTTCAAAAAAGCTTTGACCTCAAAGCTTGAATCTGCTTCTTGTCAAAAACGTCACAAAATTCCCCCCAAATCGGGTCACGAAATAGGTACCTCAAACTTGTAATGTCGAACTTCAACACTTGGTTAACTCGCGAATTGGTTGCTGTTTTCCACGATTTAAGTTCCATGACGTTCGTGGGACTCCAATGGACCTTTCCCACGCAAACAACATGCTCAAACAAACCCAGAACTAGCCGCAAAAAATTTCCAGTTCCCGGCGCTAGCAAGGATTCCAGCGAGCTCTCCAAAATTGGGGCATTAGTCTCGAAGCCGTTTCGATCGAATTCGTTGCTCCCAATCACCTCAGCACGATCCCACGGATTGAAATCAACAACTCCTGTGCATCGTAATTGACCAAAGATACTTGGGACAATCAAATTCTAACAACATGGTTCTGGCTGTTTCAATTAGGGATCTATTTTCCTCTCCACAACACCGTTTTGTTGTGGAGTTCGAGGTGCAGAAAAGGTGTGAAGTATACCTAGTTCATCACAAAGAATGCTAAAATCATCATTGACAAATTCTCCATCATTATCACTTCTAATTGATTTAATATGACAGCTATATTGCTTTTGCATGAGGATAATAAAATATGTAAATTTTAGGAAAGCTTCATCTTTGGATGAGAGGAAGTACACCCAAGTGAACCTAGAGAAGTCATCTACTATAACCAGAACATAGGATTTCCCACCAAGACTTTGGACATTTGATGGTCCAAAGAGATCTATGTGTAACAGTTCAAATGTTGACTTAGAGGTTACATTTTGCTTGCTTCTGAAAGATTTTTTGCAATGTTTTCCTAGAATGCAAGCTTCACAGGTGAAATTATCAATGGCTTTGATATGAGGTAGTCATCTAACTAGATTCAATTTGGACAGTTTGGCAAGGCGTGACATGCTCATGTGACCGAGTTTCTCATGCCAGTCAACAGCAGAATCAGACATGGAACTGAGACAAATGTCTTCAGTGAGATCTAAGGTGGATAGATCAACAGTGTAAACATTATTGATTTTCTTACCTTTAAATATCATAGTATTATCAGAGATGCGTTCAATTATGCAGCAAACCTGATCAAATATAACACGATATGTAGATCCACAGATTTGACTGATGGAGAGAAGGTTGTGTTTGAAACCATCTACAAACAGTACATCTTCAATTATGAGAGAAGAATTACTGCTAATAGTGCCTTTACCAACTACAGAAGCACAATTATTATTACCATAGAAAACTTTACCTCCCTTTTTAGGATTGAGAAACGATAAAAGGTTTTTGTTACCAGTCATGTGATTGGAGCATCCAAAGTCTAAGTACCAGATGTTTGCCCCCTTATTCTGAAAGGAAAGAAGACAAGTTATCAGAAGAGGACTCAGACCATACCTTTTCTTCACCGGGATCATCTTCCAGGTTCGAGTTTAGTCCCATGTAGGCCACGATTTCATATTCTTTTTCAGAGCTATAGTCACTCCAGGAGGCAGTCATTGCCTTTTCTTTCTTTTTGTTAAGAGGGCAGTTAGCCCTTATGTGACCTGTTTTACCACATTTGAAGCAGATAGTAGAGTCAGTTTTCTCATATGCATTCTTGTTATCTTTGGGACTAGAGTCTGATCTGTTGGATTCAAATGAATTTTTGTCATTTGATCCACCAGAGTAGTTTCCAGATGATCTAGGGAAGTGATTGACTGAGTTTCCAGAGGATCTGGAAGAGTAGTTATGGTTGTAACTTCCCTTTTTCATGTTCTGATCATGTTTAAACTTCATCATTCTCTGAAGTTTTTTTGCTGGTTAGAGCGAGTTCGTTTTCAAACTCCTCATCTAACTTCTCTTCTCCATCAGTGCACTTTGTCTTAAAGGCAATAGATTTGTTCTTCTTATCTTGGAGGGAGTTCATTTGTTTTAAAACTTCCGCATGACTAAGAAGAGATCCAATCAGGTTCTCAAGAGACAACATTGAGATCCTTAGCTTCCTCAATGGCAGTTCTTTTCGCCATCCATTCAAGAGGAAGAGATCTAAGTACCTTTCTCACAAGCTCTTTGCTTGTAAAGTTTTTACCTAATCTCTTAAGACGATTAACTAAGGTGGAGAATCTTATATCCATTTCTGAAATGGATTCTCCAGACATCATATCAAAAGTTTCATATTCTTTTAGCAACATGTCTATTCTTGTTTCCTTAACATCTGAGGTTCTTTCATGCTTTGTTTCAAGAATAGACCAAATTTCTTTAGTTGTTTCACATTTTTTAACTCTTTCCCCTTCATCTTCAGAGATAGTAGACAGCAAAATATGCATGGCCCTAGAGTCTAGTTGAGCATTTTTCTTTTGTTCATCAGACCAATCCTCCTCATCGTCTTCCTTCATGTCAATTGGTCCATTTCGGACAATTGCCCAGAGTTCACAGTTGATTCCTCGGAGGAAAAGTTGCATTCTTTTTTTCCATACTGAGTAATTAGTACCATAAAACCAGGGAGGATTAGAACTGGTAGGGAATGAATTTGACGACATAGCAAGACAGAGGATCTCCTTCTCGGCAACACTAGGTTCTTTCGAAAAGGAGGCTCTGATACCAATTGTTGATTGGCTATGTACTCAAATCCATATCCTCAACAGATGTAATCAAGTGATTGAAACAATGATTATGTTCAGCAAGTGAATAATTTCTTTTAGATTGAGAAGATTAATTGTGAAGACCTAGTTAACTCAAGTCTATGGTTCTAAGAACATAATCAAAATCAAAACTAGAAGTAAATAAAACCGAAGGAAAGTACAAGAAGTAGCCACGCCCAGATAGGCTTGAGTTCCCGGCAGAACGCCCCAACTCAAGCTATCCAGACACAAACACCGAACCCAATCCAGAGACTCCCAAGGAACAAACCCGTTCTTACTGAGTCAAGGAAACTGTTGTCGATCTTCTTCCTGGGGAGGTCTTTATATAACACCAGCCATGCCAATCTTCTGTCTCTCTTCTTCAAAGTTGGTTACCGTTTAAGGAGAATTGATGATGGCGACGATCGATGCACAGGCGACTCAGGGTTGAGGGATCGACTGACTTTGATGACACTGATGACAGGGGTAAAGGAGAAGACGCGTAAACGGGCTCTTGACGAGGTTACTAAAAATGAAGCGACTGGATCAGGTGGGCTTATGTGATAGTGGGCCTTTTTGTTCTTTCTAAGACACGAGACAAGGCCCAACAGTTAGAACCTGTTATCTCCAGAAATCAAATAACTAGAGCAATCGGAGAATGTAATCGAAACATAAACTTCAGCGCAAACAAGGGTATGGTGAATTGTATTTGGGAAGGGAGAGAACCAGACCTTGCGCCTGGTGAACCGCTAAGGTGGCTCGCACTTCCTTCGATCCTAGCGGAATCGAACCCTGAAAACCATGGAATGGATTGCACAAGAAACCCTGTATTGCATCTTCACGTACATCTTCGGAAGAACATAGTTTCGCATTTCCACAACATAAACAGAACACACTAAATAAGCAAGCACGGGAGAAAAGAACAATCGTGGAGTAACAGAGAGAGAGAGATAAATGAGGAAGAAGCAATACCGTCAATTCGTCAAAAACACAAGCCTCTTAAATGTCTCTCACTGCAGATTGCCCCACAATGTTCCTTACCAAAAACCTCTTAATCGCCTTATCCTGCTTCCCTCAGCCGACCAAAAGAAAATTGGATTCATAAACGACAATAAGAGACATTTAGAATGATCAAATCGGCGGTGTAGGGATTCACCTTAGGACAGCACTTTCCGCAATTGGAGCAGCGGACGACGAAGTTGACATGGCCGCGGCCGTGCTTGTTGCGCCCTCCATTTCTGCGCTTGAAAGTACGCGATCAAAGACGAAGAAGAGGGAATTAGCCGCTTTGAGCACGGGTTGTGGCTCCACGAGAACAGAGAAAGAGAGAGAGAGAGAGAGTTGGGGAAGCCGAATGGAACCTACCATTGTCGCCGACGGGGGACTTATCACCGGAATCACTACTTCCTTCGTTTAGGGTTTGCAAGGAAGCACTCGGAGCAGATTATAGTTGAACGGAAAAGCTTTAGCAGAGATAATTTGGGCGAGCTAACGACGAAAAAAAAAACGCAACTGCAAATTCTCCCTCCTCTCTCCCCACGTCGGGTGAGTGGTAGGGCGCTTCGCCTTCGTGCAACGATGCCGTTACTGGCCTCCAATTACGTGCTCCGGTGACTCCGGCCTATCTCTTCGGCATCGGTATAAATCCCTGCGCTACCGACTCTGAGATCCATTGTAAGTAGGGTGTGGAAATGGGACTTCTCTGTTGCGTTGGTGGAATGGGGGCTTCTTCAATTTGTTTTCTCGGATGCGGCCACTGCCCAGCGCATTTGCTCCGGGACTTCCTAGATCTTTGAGAAGTTTGTCATCCACGTCCGCAAGTGGGAGACCTCGACGACGGAGCTAGCGGCAGAGCTAATCAGGGTTCCTCTTGCGACACAAATCTTGGGGTCCCGTACTATTGTTGCGCTGAGAGAATGGGGACCCTACTTGGGTCGGCCCTCGGTCCGGCGGAGACAGCAACTATCCACCGATCAGCCTCATCTGGAGGACTCTACATTAGGACGAAGATAACTCTGGACCTCCAGCTTCCTCTCCCTGACGAAGTGGCCGCTACTCATGAGGATCCTGAAAAAGGTAGCTTCAAGGCTTTGGTGAAATTCGAATCCCTGCCCCAATTTGGCTTCCTCTGTGGGGTGGTTGGTCATGTGAACAGATTCTGTCCGAGGAAGGATGACCACTTTGGCAATCTACCAAGGTATGGCAAGCATATAGTGGCACATGCCCTAGGGTGAATGAGGCTACGCTAGCACGGCGACGCAAGCGGTTTGTTTGGACTTTGGTTGGGTACAACCATGGGATACGAGCCTCCAAGAGACAATCCTCCACCAACCTACCCCTTATTGCATCGGCCCGGTCTGCTCCTTTGCCGTTGGGGATGACAACCCATCTTAGCCATTTGCAGATCTCCACCACAGCACAACATGACCCTATGAGCAACCCCCCGCGGGTATTTCACCATCAAGACGTGGACCTGAGAGAGTCTATGGAGCCATCAGCAAAGAGGGTCTGTCTAGGCCCCTAGGTGGCATCTGACAATGCGAACTAGGATAGCAGGGTGGAGGCAGCCGGCCCTAATCGACCCCCAGCCGATAGATGAGTATCCTTGCTTGGAACTGTCGAGGTTTGGGGGGCCTTGACAGTTCCTGTGCTCTGGGAGGCCGTAGCCCGAGATGCACCTTTCCTTGTTTGTTTGAGTGAGACTAGACGTGATGATGAGTTTGTAGTTGATCAGCTAGGTGGCTTAGGTTTTCCTGAGGGCATAATTCATAGTATGTCAAATATTGGTACTGGATTAGCTATTGCCTGGTGTTCTGATTTAGTGTGTTCAGTTTCAGTCGAGTCCTCTGGATTCTTGTTTATAGAGTGTGAGCATAACTCTCTAGGAAGATTTGTTGTTTTCTTTGTCCATTTGCATTGTGATGTAGACCCCGTCAATTCCAACTTAATGAAATTTCTTTCCTTGTTTCGTCGTATGATGATCCAATCTTTGTGTTGGGTGACTTTAATTGCTTTTTATCAAGTTCCGAGAAACAGGGAGGCCGACCTCCAACCCCAGCTACTCTAGATCAGCTTCATCAGTTCCTAACTGCAGGGGACCTCCAAGATCTGGGTTATGTTGGCCCTCCATACACTCGGTCTAAACGGCACTCAAATGAAGGCCATATTCAATCTCGATTAGATTGGTGTTTAGCTAATAACTTGGTAGTTTCCCTGTGGCCAGATTTACAAGTGCATCATCTCTCTGACCGGGGATCTGACCATAGGATGCTGCTGGTACGGTTCATGAAACCTGCTGACCGACGCCAAGGAGATTCCATTACGACAATCGGTTGGGATCCAACCCGGATGTTCCCCCCCCCCCCCCCCCCCCCCCCCCCCCCCCCCCCCCCCCCGCTACATGAAGCGTGGCACAAACCAGTCAGTGGCACGCCTCTGTTTGAGGTACAATCACAACTCAAACACACTCGACAAGAGCTTATGGGATGGGCCAAGTCTGGTACTACCAATTCAGCTCGTCAGATCCTAGAGCTGAGAGGCGCTATCGACACTTCAAGGGAGGCAGCCTCGGCTGATTGGGCCGAGATTGATAGACTGGAAGTCCAATTAACTGAAGTATATCAGTAGGAAGAGCTGTGCTGCAAACAGAAAGCGAGGAATAATTGGCTCCAGGGAGGGGATGCCAATACACACTACTTCCACTTGGTAACGATGCAACGGAGGAGAGCTAATCTTATTCCGGCCCTCCGTGATGATCTGGGCGAAATTCACACTGAGGAGTCAAAGAAAGGGGAAGTATCAGTGTCTTACTTTCAATATTTATTTACTTCCAATGGATTGGACCCTACTGGTTTTGTAGCAAGTTTACATCTCCCCTGCAAGATTGATAACTCCATGAATGACATGCTTATTTCCCAGGTATCCAGACTAGAAATCAAGGAAGCTGTCTTTAGCATTGGGAAGCACTAGGCGCCGGGATCCGACGGCTTCACCGCTGGCTTTTACCAACGCTTCTAGGACGAGATAGGAATGGATGTGTCAGATGCTATCCTCTCCTTCTTTCAGACGGGGAGACTTCTACATAGCATTAACCATACATTGCTAACACTCATCCCGAAAATCGCTCTTGCTGATTCCATGAAACAAATGCGACCGATCGGGCTCTGCCAGGTTCTATACAAAGCAATCTCCAAAATCCTCTCCAAAAGACTCAGTTCTATTCTCCCTCATATCATCACCCCATTCCTGAATGGTTTTCTTAAGGGACACTGTATATCTGACAACATTCTTATTGGCCAAGAGGTGATGCGGTTTTTAAAAACTAAGACCCGAGGTACTGACAAATGGATGGCACTCAAACTCGACATGGAGAAGGCGTACGATCGCGTGGAGTGGGATTTCCTCTTTCAAGTCGTGGAATCGATGGGTTTCTGCGACCAGTGGATGAAGTAGATCAAGGCTTGTGTCACTACAGTCCGCTTTTCAGTGTTACTCAATGGAGCAGAATATGGGTATTTTCAACCTCAGAGAGGCATCCGGCAGGGCGACCCATTGTCGCCTCTGCTTTTTGCTATTTACACAGAAGCCTTTGCTGCTAAAATCACACAAGCTGTCCTTAGCTCCTCACTCCATGAACTTAAGGTTAACAGGTTTGCTCCCCCCATCTCCCACTTATTTTTCGCGGATGATTCATAGATGTTCATCGGAGCTTCAATTCCGGTATGTGCTGCTTTAACTGAATTATTATATGAATATGAATTGCTTAGTGGCCAACGAGTAAACTTACACAAGTCGGCTGTCCGTTAGTGGTAATGTCTCTAAGCAGGAATTGATGGCGATCAGTACTTATTTAGGAGTCGATACCATGAACCCGGATGACAGGTACTTAGGCCTTCCCTCTCAGATTCGACGGTCCAAGTCCCTTTCCTTCCAATTTATCGAGGAAGACTTAGCCGCTAGAATCCGTAGTTGGAAATCGAAGGCTATGTCACTTGCGGCTAAGGAAGTGGTTATCAAGGCAATCGGGGCTGCCGGTCCTATCTACGTTATGTCAGCTTTTAGGCTACCTTAAGAGACTTGCCGTAGGTGTAATGGACAGCTGTCGAAGTTCTGGTGGGCAGGGAAAGATAATGAGAAGGGCATACACTGGATCTCGTGGAATGCAATGTGCCAGAGTAAATTTGTTGGTGGGTTAGGATTCAGGGACTTTAACCATTTTAACATTGCTCTTTTAGCTAATTAGGCCTGGCGTATATTGGGTAACCCAACCAGCCACATGGCTCAAATGTACAAGGCGAGATATCATCCCCATCTACCCTTCCTCGAGGCTACAGCTGGAAACCGACCATCATGGGCTTGGCAGAGCGTCTTGGAAGGAAGAGACTTGCTCATTCGAGTCCCCAGTTAGCCCTCCCCTTTGAGTCTCGATTTTGGAAACTTCTCTGGAGCATCCCAGTTCCTCCAAAACTGAAGCACTTTTGATGGCGGGCTGTGCGCGGCTTACTCCCTCTACAGACGGTTCTGTTTACCAAGACTATTGTTACTGACTCGACTTGCCCAATTCGCTCGGAGGGGACCAGAGTCCTTTTCCCATTTCTTTTTCTCATGCAGGATCGCTAGGGGCTTATGGAGCAGAGCTAATCTTGAGGATTGGCGTGTGGCACTCAGTGGCATGAATCAAGATGATGCTTGGAATCATTTATTTTTCTCTATGAACCTGTCTAAAACTCAATTGGCTGATGTAGTGTTTCTTGTATGGCGCCTTTGGAAGGGGAGATGTTGGGCAATACATGAGCATATTCAATACCTCCCAACAGCCTTGTACAGACAGTTTCAGCGGCAGGTGGAGGAATGGCGCGCTCTAGACCAAGTCTCCCCACATCAACCAGCTAGGAATCCTGCCCCACAAGCCAACACAGATTCTCGCCTAAGCTCTTGCAGGGGCCCTGCCAGGTCCATACAACATCCAACCGAAATTAATGTTTGGTTCGATGGTGCCGCCAAACGTGGGGAAGGAGGGAGTATTGGATTTGTTTGATACCAACTGTCAGGTAACTTACTCTTCGCCTTTGGAAAGTACTATGAAGTAATTCATGATCCATTCATTATGGAATGTTTAGCAATAAGAGATGCAGTCCAATGGTGTCTAACACATTCTTTTCTCTTTGTTAATTTTCATGGGGATTCGCAACTACTTATCCGGCGACTGGTGGGTGGTGACTTGAATCATGATCGTGGAGGAGCTATTCTAGAGGACGTTCGGTGCTTGGCCTCTCGCTTTAGCAGAGTTTATTACTCGTTTGTGTCCCGTCAACTCAATAGGGCCACCCATCTTGTTGCACAAAAGGCCCTCTCATCGGGAGTTCGACTATTGGTCCACTCCGCACACTTTTGTTTTCTTCTGCTTGATTGATTTTAATAAATACTGACTTGGGGAAAAAAGAAAAAAAAAGCTTTAGCAGAGAAATAAATCCAGTGTTGTTGGGCCTGGCCTCCCAGTAAGGCGGCAAGATGGATGTAAGTGTCATCATGGGCAAAGCACGCACGACATGTAGATTATGGGACCGAAATGGCCTCACGTAGGGTGACATGGATCAGGTGGTCCGGGTTTAGCCATTTTAATCACCTGACCCATGCAGTACGGTTTGGAAAATATTAAATGCAAACCCACCAAAAATATTTAAACTCTACGGTTGGTTTCTAATTGGGTTGAGTTGGATTGATGATATTTTTAAGTATAAACTCAACCCAACACAAAATATCTAATTGTCTACACCATAAAAATATTTTATAACTAATTAAAATTTCAAACAAATAAACTGAGGTGAAATGTATCAAAATTCAAAAATGTTGCTTGAATTTTAATAAAATGGGATTTACTTCAACATATGTATAGTTTTTTTAACGATATTTGTTGAAATATACTAAAAAGGTGATAAACGAACGCATCCATAATATGTTATTCTATTAAATTATATACAAGAAAAAGAATTACGTGAATTATATCTATATTAAATTTATGTCTAAATTTCAAGCCAAAAAATACATTAGATTAGGGAGACCATGAGAGAAAAACATGGTGAAATATCTTAATTTTCTCATAAGTATGGCTATATACGAAATATATATTTTGTGGATACGAACTCATACAAATAGTTGGAACACGGGTTGGGTTGTGTTCTATGGGTTATGTAATCCAAAATCTAAACCCAGCCCAAAAGAGACGACTTGGGTGGGTTGCGTCGGCTTGGACGGGTGGGTCGGTTTGCGGGTGTCTTTGTTCACCCCTAGCCTCATGACATGAAGACCCACGGTGGCCGAATGCAACAGTTTTTCTTTGGGTAAATACTACGTTTGGTCACTGGGTTTACTAAAATATGTCATGTTTAGTCACTGTTAACAAAATTAATATCAATGTTGATCACTCGAATTAGTAAAATGGTTCACATTTAGTCACTCTCCGTTAACACCGTTAGTCAATTGCTTAAGTGATTAACAAAAGAGCCGACTCACCTTTTTTTTAACCCGCCACATCACCAAACACGACCCGCCACGTCACTCAACCGGCCACATCTTCTTTCGCAACCCAATTCTTAAACCCAACCAACCTATGAACCGATCCTTCTATCCCTGTATCTCCCCTCTTCCCTCTCTCCATCGCTAAATTCCAACCTATGCCTCGTCTCTTGCTTCTTCGATTCAAAAGGCTTTCGTGAGCCAAAAGAGGCCACGATTGCCACACCATCACTATAGAATAAGGAGAATATTGGGTGAAAAATACTTGATTACTATTATTGAATTAAAAGTGTGTGAATTAAAAGT